ATGAAGTGGCTGCCTCAAATACTGTTTGGAGAAGAGCCATAGACAGGGTTAGAAAAAGTTCTTTCTGCACCTTACAGAATGTTAATACAGCAGTTTTCCCTTCAAAGCACCCCCATTACTGTGGTGAAAATATTTGGCTCAGTAAAGCTTGGCCTGATCCCAGCTGAAGTCTATCTAAGGGCTGCTTAGAAATCCAAACAAGATGTGCACTTTTACTGGGGACCGCTATGAAAATACATCACTGCTATAGTGCCATGCTGTTTGATAGTATCTTTGTAAGAGACAGGAAGGGCTGGAATGATGAGTGTTCTTACAGCTCGTCAGAAAGGATGAAAAGCCAATAGCAACTTCACACCTGTAAAACATGGCTTCCTTCACTCAACAACCATAAAAGACATGGGTTTGAAAAATTTGTGTTCCTTTTAAAGCCAAATATTAGATGCACAAGAGGCAACCTGTGTACCTCTCTAACTCAATTCGCTCCAAGTATGAAAGTTAAATGTCTTTCCAGCTTTTGCTCAATATCAGCTGTTTCTTACTCTCATATACCGGGATATGCATTGAAACCCTGCATAAGACCAGTAAAACTGCAAGTCTCCTGCAGCATGAGAGCCTTATTTTGTCAGGCAGTTAGAAAAATATTTCTGCTGCGAGTATTAGTTATTATTTCTACTTTTGTCTGCCAGTGTGTAAGCAAATACAGTATCTTATTGGCAGTTGTTGTTAAATATTGGAAGTAAAGAGAAACACTGTGACCCAGCAGTGTGGAGGCAGGGCTGCCATTCATTTGGATAGGCATGTTTAATCATCAACTACATGCTGCACTCTGATCTGGGCAACATCTGACTTCTGGTGAGATCAAAAGTTATGAAAGTTACTACTGAGAGCAACCACTCACAGAAAGAAGTGTTTTCTTTGGAAGAACACATCACAGGGAAGAAAAACTAAATGAAGATCTTAGCACTCATCTCTCACTGACATCATTGGGAACTGTACACGCATGCATTCAGCACAAAATAATTTTTTGTAATTAAAATAATTAAAGTCACTTCATTTCACGAAAATGATATTTCATATTCAGCTGTAATTCATGGGTTAACACTTTGCATCATTTTAGCAAAATTGAAAAGCTGAGGTTTCAATGCAACACGAGTTTTTCTGCTCTGCTGGAAGTGTGCAAGGCTGTTTACATGTCTGCAATCACTGTCTTTTAAGGCTTGCACTTTACCTGATCATTTCATTCACTGCAACAAAAAGAGGAAAAACAGTTCAATGTCACAAAAATACGCTTCTGCAAACTGGCTCTGAAAAGCTAAATAGTTCCCCTTAGAAAACTCTTACTTCTATAAAAGGCACAAAACCCTTGGTAAAATTCATACTTCTGCCTTCAGGAAGTAAGTGAATTTGATGATAATGTTTTAAATTTCTCCTAGAGTAATGTGAAGGAGAAACTCCTACCATGTGGGTGTTGTACAAGTGGACAGCTAGAGAAAAGCTTCTCCAGCACTCATGGGCAGAAAAGTGCAGAGCTGCATCGCTGTAGAAGAGCTACAGTAGTAACAGAAGTAACTTGAAGCTACTTCTAACCTACTTCTGTCCCAAGCCCAAAACATTAGCAATTGCCTTCTACAGTTGCTGTATCAGATGAAAAAAACCAGTGACTACGAATATCTCCATGTGGTGATGTCCTTGAAGAGACCCAGCCCTGGGTAGGAGGCAGAGCAGTACTCCTGGTCCCACCATCTCTGCCTGCTGAGCAGCTGAACCCAAACTCCATGGCATGGGAGCCACGTATTTCCTCAGTGCTCCTTCCCCAGCTTGTTGCTGCCAGTCCTCATAGAGCTGCTCGATGTGGAAAGTGCACATGCAGCCCTCTACAAGGGTACTGATGGGCACAGCTATGAGCCAGGTAACCCTGGCAAGACCAGGCACATCTCCTTTTTGGAGATCTTCAAAAGTCATCTGGATATGGTCTGATATGGGCACAGTGTTGTGTGTGTCCCTGCTTGAGAGGACTAGAAGTCCCTGCCAACCTCAGTCATGCTCTTGCTCTGTGATTCCAGGCTCACTTAGGAAAGATAATTTCAGGGGAGAAATGGCCAAGTTTTTCATGGCCCTGTTAAGCAGGTCTAGTTTTAATTATATGAAAATTTGTTTTTGGCACCACTTGTTATTTGCCATCCAAACACTGATCAACGATACAGAGAAAGCATCATTTCCTGCATAAGTTTGTGCAGAGGTCGTCCACTTTTTAATATATCCCTTTACTCTGCCTATTTCTTCAAATATAAAACCTTCTTCCTACCCATGAAGAGTTACCACAGTGCCAATCTGGGAAAGTGTTTCTGTAAGGTCTTTGTAGGATCTGTGATATTTTATTACACATAACTCTAGCATTAATGTCTATGCCCCTTTAGGGGGGCATTCCCTTTAAGGGTGAAGACCAATTTCTTTCTAAACAGCATCTCTCGTAGCAGCCCAGGCTAAGCATTGATCTGCCCTCTCCACTTTGTGTACCAGAAAAAAGGTTCCACAGACAAAGCTGTCCCTCATGATACCTGCTTCTTTCATCGTATTTACATAGGTTTAACTAACCAAAACCTGGTAAACTGCTCTGCTGGAAGTGCAGTCCATGAAATGAAATCTGCTTGCTCCATTTTTGCAAATAATAATATGTTATTATGTATGGCAATGATCTAAGTTACTTAGATTATCAGATCGTCTAAAACACAAATGAAACGTGCCTCAAAACCAGTAGCAACAGAGAAGAACTGCTGAGGGTTCCCACTAGCACAGTCAGCTCTCTGATGAAAATTTGCTCAGATGTTTTGGAAAGAAACTAGTAGTATTACGTTAGACAGTGGTCCTGGGGATAGGCCTTCCCCAAACGAGGTGTTTGCAGTGGATTCTTCCATAATCCATCAGTGGGAAAGACAAGGGTATTTTCCACAAAAATATTTCCTACCTCTCTGATACATGTTAGCAGTACTGAGCTGTAAATGCATGGCTCAGCCATCCCACTGAATGTTGCTGCATTTCTCCCTACTGTAGCAGGCACACCATGGCACATATGCAGTGTCACAACCACGGCTGTGTCAGGGGCATGGAGGATGTTAGCAGTCTTCTTGTAATTTTATTTACTGTTGATACCACAGTAATAACCTCTCAGGCCAAACTAAAATTGTGATAGGAGCAACAACTGTTTGAAGTTTAGTTTAGCCATGAAGCATGCACTGCACCACCTTTTTCTCTGTTGCCTTTAAATTGTTATGGCCCCCGTGCCCTGAAACCTGCCTATCTGATAACATTTCTTCTTGACTCCTTGATTTGGAGATGGAAAAGGATTGGAGCTTCTCTGAAAGCAGTCTGCCATTGTGCAAACAGGGCTCAAAGACTGAATCTTTTCAGCTGTCCCATTCCTTCCATTTAAGCTACATAAGCTTCCCTGCAGTCACCAGCTAGGACCTTATCATTGTATGAAAACAGATGAGATAACATTGTCATCACTTTAGTTTTAGATTTTCTTTTTTTCTTTTTTTCTTTTTAAACTCAGTCTCTGAGAGCTCTGAGGTAACAGTTAACTCTTTAGTTACTGCAAAGGAAACTTCTACATCTCTCCAATTTACTGCCTAATACTGGGATCACTGGTCCTGGAAGGAGAAAGCAAGAATCACACACATGCAGATCACATACTTCAGCGATGATCAGTGGTTTACCTCTAAGGATTTATCAACAAACTGAAGCTCTGTGCAGCCTTAACCAACATCTTTCTTGAGCTATATTTCATTTCTTTACCGCAGATGCCTGTAGAACTCTGATTGCTTTGTTCTCCGGTAATTTTTCCCTGAACTTTTCTCAAGGAGGTGTAGTGCTGCTAAGAATCGAAATCATGCTTCGCTTAGACTACTTTTAATAAAGTAAATGTGTTACCGCACTTTGGTGCAGCATAACACCACCAAGAATTTACTAAGTGTGTAATGTGCAAGCCCAGTGTGTAATGCGCAAGCCTAGTCAGCAAACAGATCAAGAAAAGTCAGATCAAGGAGCAAGCAGCAAGCACAGCCATGACCTGACGCTGACACTCTTCATACGAAGAAACTGAAAGCAAACATATGAAAAAACCTCTTTCCTTCACTTTGTTTTGCACACAAAACACGCTGCAGCTCCTTTGTGAATACTCAATACACATCAGTCACCTTACACCTAGCATGCTGTGAGAAATCCCCTTCGGGTTTACTTGATAGTCACCTGGGATGTGAAAGGTGATTTCTGGGAGTCATCATAGGTACTTATATAAGAACAAACTAGGAAATTACACGTGGGAACAGATCCTGCATGGATGAATCAGCTTCCTCGGTGTGGTAAAAATGTTCAATCACTGAATAAACTTAAAGAAATTATTTGAAGCCACTCAGCTTCATCTCTCTTGGTAGCATATGCATAATATTTTACTGGGAACTTAAATCCTGAAATTTTTTTTGTTCCTGCTTTCTTAGAACACAGCGATTACAAGGAAAAAGTCTTGGAAAAATCAGTCACTTAGTCTATATTAGCAAAGCTCCTTCAACTATCAGCAAGCCTTTTTCAGCATGAGTCACCAACCACATCCTTGCTGTAATAATTTAGTTACACATTTTCTTCAGAAACTTTGATTCATTTTCTTGCTTGCTGGTTAGAAGATGAGCAGAAGCCGGCTGTCATGAACTTAATTAGAAAACCATGAATGAAGCACTCAAATGCAATGGCACAAGATTTTGTTTTAAATGAAGGCGCAACAAAACCAAAACAACTAGCTATTAACCAACCCAAGCATTAGATGACACGACACAACCAAATGTATCTGGCAAAAGAAAGCAACAAATAACAGTGCTCTTCTCCACCCAAGCACTTTTCCCACCCCAGATTTCTACCAGGGGAGTCTTTGGAAATCTTGTAACTGACCTCTGCTTCTTCTTTGCTCCCAAAAAACCAAGAGAAGGTCGGTCAGCAGTGCACAGTACCTGTGGAGAAGTCGGAATGCTCCCGTGTGTGCTGGTGGCTGCCAGGCTCCCCTGTCGTCCTCGGGCAGCCCCGTACCTCTGCAGCCACGGCTTGGTGCACAGGTCAATGTTTTACCAGGCAGCCTCTGTCCCACCCGCCCTGCAAACACCAAATGGGAACGTGGCACTGGGGGGGTGGCCGCACTTCTACTGCCCTGTGCTCCCCCGGGTAAGCAAAGCACAGAGAGGGAAATCTGTTGAGTGGGGATAAGTGTGCCACAGAAAAAGAAAAAATAAAAAGGCCTAAGTAAATGAGCTATTAATAGATAATTAATGGCAGGTAAGTCATGATAACCTTTCTCTGTATTGTTCTAACACTGCTTGCAAGCCTAGGCGTGCCAGGCTGAAAGCTGAGAGGGAACAGGTAATTTATGGGAGTACACAAATTTCCAAATAAATCTCCAGCTTTAAGAGAACAGGCATTCAAATTACAGCTAAAAGTTCAAAAACAAAATGTCAGCAAGGAGACTTTTTTGCTGTACCCTGAAACCACAGTATGAAATAACATGGAGGGAGGCTGAACAGAAAAAGAAGCAAAAGAAATAATCAGTGGTTTACCTTCAGGCAGAGTCACTGCTCCTCTGCTTCGGCTGCTCGGAGTGCCCAAAGTTAAAGCTCTACCAGCAATAACAGAGCTTTTACGTTCCCAGCAGGTTAACAATTACAAGCAGAGGACAGCAGAAATGGGCTGGCACCAGTGCGTGGTGCTGACAAGGTGCCACTGCCACTCCCTGTGAGGAGAGGGCAACTGCAGGACCTGGGAGGGCTTGGAGACCTGCCCTTGGGGGTGCTCCCAACATCAAATCATAGAATCTTTTGAATTGGAAGACACCCTTGAAGGTCATCTAGTCCAACCCCCCTGCAATGAACAGGGACACCTACAGCTAGGTGCTCAGAGCCCCATCCAGCCTGACTTTGAATGTCTCCAAGGTCAGGGCATCCACCACATCTCAGGGCAACCTGTTTCAATGCCTTTCATAACTAGCTTCTTCCTTATATCCAATCGAGATCCCTTGTTTTGGATTGAAACCAGTTCCCCTTGTCCTATCACAACAGATTCTTCCTAAGTGTCTGTCCCCTTCTTTCTTATAATCCCCCTTCAGATATTGAAAGTCCGCTACCAGGTTTCCCCTGAGCCTTCTCTTCTCCAGGCTGAACAGCCCCAGCTCCCTCAGCCAGTCTGTATAGGAGAGATATTCCATTCCTTGGATCATTTTTGTGGTCCTCTGGATGTGCTCCAACAGGTCCTGTCTCTCCTGTACCGAAGACTCCACATGTGGACGCAATTCTCCAAGCGAGGTCTCACCAGCGCAGAGTAGAGGGGCAGGGTAATTTCTCTCGCCCTGCTGGCAGTGCTTCTTTTGATGCAGCCTGGGATACAGTTGGCTTTCCAGGCATGAGCCATGCCTGGCCTGGCCGTGCTCAGTGACATGGGCTGAAGGCTGCCAGCCAAATCTCGTGAGGTTGGAGGGTCTGTCTCTGCTCACTGGCATACTGCACTGAATGACGGGTGGCAGGGGCACAGACTGACCCAGCTCACCACACATGTGACACCATAAGCACCAGCAACCAGACTCAAACAGTAGTGTGAGAAGTATGAATGCTTAACGTGACGTGCTCCTGGAGGAGCAGTGGAGTGAAGGGGGTATGACCCAGGGGGCTTCCCACATCCACCTCTGCAGTTCTCAGATGTTCAGAAGGAGAGCTGCCTGGCATTCATTAGTCCTACCCGCTGCAGTGATGCAGTGCCAGGCTCCCGAAACTGGTGGGGAACATCACCTCTGAGATAGTTTCCCCAAGTGAGGCCATGGCTGCCAAGGCTTAACCATGCCATGGTGGCGAAGCGAGCTCTGTGGCTGCAGCCCAAGCTGCATGCTCCAGTGCACCCAGGCCTTCTGGGCTCTCCATTGCACCACCAATCACTGCAGATGTTTTCAGGCGTGGCGTCCCTCCTGCTGGTCTGCCTGCACACATGGGTAATCTCATATATTTGGGATGTAAGGCCACCATTGCTACTGCTTGGGACTTGCTGATAGGACAAGCCCTTGGCATGAGTATGGAAGCCATATGGACTTTTGCACAGCTAGACATGCTGCTGCAGGACAAACTTCAAGACCTGACCATGTCTTTTGCACATGCCTAATTAATTCATCAGTTTGAGTTCCCTCTAGACAAAAAAAAATATATTCACAACTGCTTTACAGCATCTGCTCCTGACTGTGAGGAATAACACTGTGACTAGCACACAGATGAGTGGGAGACCCACCATCTTTTGCCATCTTCTCCCCAGGTTTGCAACATGATGCTTGCCACATCACATTAACCTCTTAGTACCTCACTGATCCCGCTCGTGCAAGTGGAAATACCAACAGCAGCTCCACAGAACTGTGGCTATCGGCTGTGTGATCACCATGCAGAACAAGGGGCCTTATTTGAAAGAGCTTATCTCTGTTGTCAGCCTTGCCTGACCAGCTCGGGAGAGCATTGCAGTGCTGTCTCTCTGCTGAATGTCTCCAACTTGAGATCTCACAGACCTTACTAACCACAACTGGAGGAATGGAGTTACCTTTCTGCCAAAAAGTCTCTTCTCAGCTTCTTTGGCATTTCTGCACTGTAGAAGCATTTCTACAGAAGACATTCAAGTGGCGCAGCCCACTCATCTGCATTAGGTCGAGATTTTATCACTGCTGTGTTTTGTGTAGCAGTACTGCTGCATGGACTCTGGCAAGGCTGGAAGCTGAGGCAGCAGCAATAGGATTTGGAAGTGGCAGAGAGGCACGTGGTGCTCATATTATGGGATCAGCTCAGATTTTCTGTGGCTGGTAGGATAGACAAGGCCTCTATTTGCTGCCTGCTATGGGAAGGCTGCACAGCTACTCACTTCTCCAAGGTGCTAATACTTCTGCATTGCTAATACTTCTGCATTGCTTGCAAGCACTGTACAGGCCTAGGAGCCACTCAGGTTACATGCAGTATTGAACCAAAGGAAATTTAGTAGCAGTCATAGCTCCCAGGCGTAGCTACCACAGAAAAATGATGGCTTTGCCATACTACAGCTGAAGCTGTATCAAGCCACACTGAACAAATATGATAGTAATAATCTGATGGGTCCTCTCACCTTATCTGCCCCAATAGACAAGCTGCTATAATACAATAGAAACTGAAGTTTTTTAATTGTTGACAACCAATAAAAGAGATTTTTTTTCTGTATGTACATTTATATAGTTACTGCTTTCTGAAAACCCAGTCTTTAATTCATGTAAGCTTCTATAACTTTTTCTCTGGTTTTCAGAGACTAACATCTGAATAAAAGTCATCCCAAACCCACGCGTTTTAAAATTCCTTGGAATGAAATAGCAGTGTTTTTACAGAGTGTTACGTCTGAAGGCAAGACATGAACATGAAGATTGAAGTGCCATTGTGAGGTACTTCTCTAAAGTGTTAATACCTCTGGCTCTTCACAGACTGGAACAGGCTGAGATAAAATAATGTCCCAAAGGCCATGCAGTCTGCAACAAGACCCACAGGTATCACTGCCCACGCTTCTCAAACAAATGCAGGCACCTTCTGTCCAACCCAAGCCTAACAAGCATCTCCTTATTTTCTTCTTTTGAAGTCTTTCACAGCAGCAGATTAGGTGCTCCCAGAGAGGTGGATGCTTCTCAGGAGGCCAAGCCTGACTCTGTCATCTGGTCCAAAGTTCCCCTTACTATGCTTTCACCAATAACTGAGGGCAAGTTTGTGATTAACACACCACTGCCAGAGGGAACTGTGACCCACAGAAACCTGGCATTTTGTTCTCCCGTCGGTGCGCAACCTTTATCACATAGCGTAGGGTTCAAGGGCAGCGTAACACTTGAGTATTTACTTACTGCAAATGGAGGAGGTGCTGGGTTGCAAAGCATACAGACTGTAAAGTCGAATGTTAATTTAGTACAGAAACTGAATATTCTTGGGCTGGCTTGGGAGCAACCAAAGTAAAAGATATGGATACTAAAAGTGAAAAAAACACTTAAAATACATAGGCTTTTAGGACTGAGCGTTTTCAAGAAAACAGTGAAGTGTTAGCAACCCTAGCAAAGGGATCAACAACAAAACTAAAACATGAGGATCAGGTAACACAGGGGAAATTTCTGTTCTGCAGTACTCAGTGCAATGAAGCACGATTTAACTTTATTCCAGTTCCCTTGTATTTCATCCTGCATGGTAACACTCACTTCGGAGGCAGCACAGGCAGATCCAGAGGGGCTGCTGCAGAGACACTGAACACTTTATATTCCCATTAACAGCCTCCTGTACCTGAGCACATGGTGCAAAGAGGAATATGTTCAGACCCATCCCTAAGCTGTTTCAAAACCAGCTCTTAAGAGATGCTGGAGCTATGCTGATGGCCCTCAACTGGAACTGCATTCCCCATTCTGGGCCAGAGGGACTGCTGGTGCCTGCTGTGAAAGAAGTAGGTGGGAGGGGAAAGTCATCCCCGCAAATCTTAGAGGATCTCTACAGTACTGGAAAGCAGCAGAGAAATGAGGTGTCCATTGGGAGAGTTTTTCAGCAGTGGCCTGAAGGTGGCATGCATGAGGACACCTCTCCCTCCAGCTGTGCCTTTGGCTGGGCGTCTGAGCTCTCAGAAATCCTGCATGGCCTTGCTCTGCCTTCCGTTCATCCATCATTTAGTGGTTGGGGCTGAGCTTCCTGAGCAAAACGCACTGTAGGTCTTCATCTATTACAGAACGAGTCCTCAGCTCTGGACAGACAAAGTGCTCCCCCAGTGACATGAGGAAAGAGGTAACAAGGGAACTATTTACAAAACTGCCTCTGCTGGCTGATCCTAGAGCTGTTTTGCTATGTTTAACTGGGCAGTTTCAGTCATTGCTGTTCTCTTGGAGGGCACAGACCTTGCAAAATACTCAAGATATGTAGGAAAACTTGCTCATGATTCACAGGGAAACTTAATACTGGTGGGAAAAAAATATTTGCAAACGCTTTCATTAGAGCTGATTTATTAGATACTTGGCTAACCAATGCATGTAGAAAATTATATAATGCCAGGTTAGAAAATTTCTGAAAAGAAGCTGCATTCAGAAATGCAAAAATGGCATTTCGAAACCTTATCATCCAAAGCTTTCTTGAGAGCTCTCTGTTTTGACTTTATCTCTGTTTTGTACAAACACACTATGCTTGTGGTTTAGCAACTTTTTACAGCAGACAAATATTTTAAAAAACTCCCTTCTTTGTAGCTGTTCGACCGCTTTTACGTGTATTGCTGCATTGCATGGTGCCACCCATAGTCACGTGTAGGAAAGGACTGTTAGAAAAGCTACAGCTTAAAATCACAGGTATGCATTCAGCATGGGTTTGATGTTAATACAAAGCTCCCCCACTTAAGCTGCTTCTGCGTCTTCGCTCTGATAGTTACTGAATAAGGAGAACCTCGGATTCAGGCTTTGGCAGTGCTGGTTTAGTTGGCTTTCTCACCAGGCAGTCAGGATTCTATGCAGTTTGGGTGCTTAGGAGATGTTCCTGGTGCACTTCTCAACACACTTGTGTCTGCCCATGCACTCACTGCTAGAGATGTAGCTGCCTGGCAAGCTCCCATATGAAGGAGCAGAGCCACTAATGCTGCACTAGCACTGACAGAAATGCT